CACTGATCACCAATGTTCCCCACAGAGCCCCCATGCCCTCAAAGGATGACCAATGTCCCTCACTTCCACCACAGATAGTGGTTATATGTTTCCTCCCACTGACCACAGATGGTAGGCATTTTTTCCACCCACTGATCACAGATTACAATCATTTTTCTTTTCCACCCACTCAACATAGATGTCCACAGATTCCAAGCATTTTTTCCTCCCACTGACCACCCATGGCAGGCATTTATTTCCCCCACAGACCGTAGATGGCAGGCATTTATTTCCTCCCATTGACCACAAATGGAAGGGCCTTTTTCTCCTACCACCGACCACAGCTGGCAGGCATTTTTGCTCCCACTGACCACAGATGGTGGGTATTTTTTCCCTCCTCCTGATCATGGATGGCAGACATTTTTTTCTTCTTCACTGACCACAGATAGCAGATTTGTTTTCCCCCACTGACCACAGATGGTGAACATTTCATTTCTCCTGCTGACCACAGATGGGGGATATTTTATTCCACTGACCACAAATGGGGTAATTTATACCTCCCACTAACAGCAGATAGCAGGCATTTTATTTATTTTGATAATGGTCAATTTTTGTCCTCCCACTGACCACTCAAGCCAAACACGTTTTCCTCCTGCTGATCACAGACCCAAGGCATTTTTCATTTCCTGCCTAGTATAAGGGACACTATGACAAATGACTGCCATACACTATATATTGTGTTTTACATTACATTTTGCTGACAGCTCTACTCTATATATTGTGTTGTGCATTAGAATAGTGCTGACTTCTGCACATTACATAGTCGTCAATAAAATGTTCAATGTCTCAACAGTTGCTGGTTGATGAGGAAGATTCTTACTATTTTAACAAAGTTCTCCTTTAAATTGACACTAAACTCACAGGAGGGAGCTTGGAAAAGTGGCTACTTTACAACACACAGGGACCATGGGGAACAAAAATAACCAGTACAAAAAAGAGAGAGGATGAGGATTAACCCGTTAAGAGGTAACGGGTTAGCAGAGGTCAACTTAAGGATCCGGACAAGTCAATTGAATTTTTCTCCTGTTTCCCTCTTCAGATATAGTGAAGGAATCTGTATAGATCTATGATTGCAACACCGACTTTCTCTGCTTTCCGTTGGATAATAACGGGTATTTATAGATGTTGCTTGTTTATTTGATGTTTCCTGTGTAAATATCCTCTTATTTCGTAGAGGTTTATTATTACTTTTACTTCCAAATTATTTTGCCTTTTATTTTCCGTTTGTTATTTGAATATTAAGTCTTCTATTATTTGGTGTTAAAAGTCTCTGACCTCGGTTTAGCCGTATGTGCAATTAACTCCTTCCTGCTCATCAGCAATGTGTTACTCTAATTAGAGCGGTGAGGTATAACAAGTCCTTTTGTTTTGCAGGGAGGGGAGTTTTCTCACGGAATTCATTGTAGAACTCTTAAATTTTGCCCTACATAACAACTGCTTCCAATTCCCAGGAGTAAATGAAAGCTCTATCTGTCCTCAAAAAAGGGTATAAAATTCATTTCAGTACAGCACTGCATGACGGAATAAATGTCAGTCAAAGTACCGCAGCGCTGAATACTGAAAAATGGCCTGGATGGGAAGGGGGTTTAACACCGCGGATGTCAACTGGTTAAACAGATCAGAGGCACATCGATGGGAACCCCATGGGCCCCATCTTATGCATGTCTCCACCTAGGCCTATGGGAAGAAGAATTAATATACAATCACCCCTTATACCTGAGCCACGCAAAAACGTGGCTCAGGTATATCGACGATATACTAGTGGTCTGGAACGGAGGTGAAGACCTCTTGATATCCTTCATCAAAGATTTGAATATGAACAATAGAAATCTAAAATTCACTTACACTCAAAGTAATACTAAACTCTCTTTTTTGGATCTTTCAATAGAGATCAAAAATCAAAAACTGATTACAAAAACATATAAAAAAGAAAACTCAGCAAATACACTCCTTCATACGACTAGCCAGGGTATCCCTACAGGTCAATTTTGTAAGAATAAAACGCAATTGTAGCGAACATGCGGACTACATTAAAGAGTCCAAAGACCTGTACCAACGCTTCAGGGAAAGGGGATACCCACATAAACTAATCAAAAGGAGTAAAATAAAGGCAAATCAAAGAACAAGAAAAGATCTATTGCAGAATAAAGAATTAAAAACGGCATACCTAACGAATGAAAACAACAACTACACACATATGATAACCAAATATGGATCTAATTGGGAGAAACTAAGACAACTTCTAACGAAGCATTGGCACATCTTTGACCTATGCCCACCACTATCTAAAATAGTGGGTCCAAGACCCCTATTGATGGCCCGGCGTTCGAAAAATCTAAAAGATAGTCTAGTTAATTCAGAATACACACCTAGCTCATCGAAACAAACACTTCAAAATAAAAAAAGACTCAAAGGGATGTACCCCTGTGGGGGCTGCCAGATCTGTCCTTATATAGACAAAACAAAAACTTTTAGGAACTCTGAAAATACAAAATCCTTCAACATAGTGAGTTTTAATAACTGCAATTCAAGAAAGCTTATATACCTAATTAAATGCCCATGTCAGAAATTCTACGTGGGCAAAACCAAAAGACAACTTAAAGTAAGAATAGGTGAACACCTAAATGACATCAAGAAGAGAGATATAGACAGTCCCCTAGCCCAACATTTCTTGGAACATCATAAGGGGGTCCCACATGGGCTTAAAGTTAAAGTCATTTACGCATTAAATATCTCTCCCCGAAGAGGAGGTTTTGATAGGATCCTCCAACAGCGGGAGAAGATGTGGATCTATAGGTTAAATACAATGATTCCGATAGGATTGAACAATGAATGCAGTCTCAATGTCTTTTTATAAGACAAACTGTTTCTAACCTACCTCCATAATGGATCCACATCTTCTCCACTGATCAACACATACGGGGACTATCCATCCTAAAAGTAATATATCGTGTAAAGGTAGAAATCTATTTTTAAATACGGCTATGTAGAAACTATTTTTATTTCATAATAGAGAAATATAAACTTTATGTTGATACTGTCTAATGAAACTAATAGAAGGTTATATCAAAGGAGGGAGATTTATCCTTTAGAATCTAAACCAATGAAGGGGGATAGAAAATGAGGGAAAAGAAAGGGGCGTGACCCTACTATTTAAGGAACATCTCTCCCAACACTTGATTATGTCCTGACGAAGCCCCGTACAATGGGAGGGGTGAAACGCGTCGACAGATAGACAGAGATCAAATGTGCAGTCATCATATCACAAGTGGACATATGATCCTGAAAACTTGACCTTAAACATTTGCTAATCTTGCTAAAATCCGAAATTGGGACTGGTGGCTCTCACAGACGGACAGACTGTATCCTGAATATCCAGGAGACTTCAAAAAGATCCACGAAGTAAAGACATCACTCGTACCTACCATTGGAGATCCGACCATTATGAGGATCGATCCACATATAATTTATGACTGTATGTTTCCTACAATGTTTTTAATGGTAATTAGTGAATCCAATGTGCAATCGTATATGTTTTTTCAATAAAATTATATTTTTTACAATCAATTGACTTGTCCGGATCCTTAAGTTGACCGCTGCTAACCCGTTACCTCTTAACGGGTTAATCGTCTCTCTTTTTTGTACTAGTTTATTTTGGTCACGGATCAGACGTAACAAGCAATTGTGTAAATCTAATCAGGGCAATTATAATCAGTCGGATCTCCAGGTAGGAACACAAACCCCTTCCAACAAAAATAACCACCCTTGAGAAGGAAGGACAGTGTCAGGAAGAATTCAGAGAAGATTTGAGGAATCTACAACCGAGTGATGCACAAATAAGATACATGTTTGTTAAAGCGGACCTTTACACTAAAAAATCTAATTCTACCAATCTAATTCTACCAAGACGAATTATATGAACTATGATTAATAATATAGATATGTGTAAAATGCTGTGATTTTGAAATACTTACACTTGCAGAGCATTCACTTCCTGTTTTGAATGCTGAAAATGACTTCAGTTTGCCAAGCAATTCACACTGGGATTGCCTTGTCATCAGCAGAGCATTGCTGGGAAATCTCGTATGTAATCTCATGAGATCTCAGTGTAAAGGCATTTTCCTCCCCTGAGATGATGTGCATGGGCATGGTCACATGCCCTAGTCACATGTCTAGTCACATGTGCCAGAATTCCAGGAAGTAAAAAGAGAGCTAGTACTCTGCCTTTAGTTAACATGGCCACTGTAAGAAGACTGGGGAAGAAAAGAGAAATAAGGTATGCAGAGAATACAAAGCAGGCAATTATCTAGAAGTATGTGTTTGTAGATTGTCATTACTAAACACTTCTAAAGGTGTGTTTGTTATTTTAAAGATATGTATACTTTATTTTGTTGTAATATGTACATTTGTTATGGGCAGACATTTGATAAAAACATACTTTCTTGTAATTTAAGGTTTCGCAGCTTGATTACTTATTTTGCCATGTCTCAACACAATTCTAAAATTTTAACATTACAATTAATGGTACCACAATGGGGGTATTCATAAAAACTGGAGCAAACAGAATCTGGAGCAGTTGCTTATGACAACCAATCAGTAGGGAAGGGTGGAGGGGGGCCACGTCGGTAAACTGTTGATGTGTTTCCACCAGCAGAATTAGTGGCTTATTTTCCTCTCATCATGTCAGTGGGCATCACTTATGGAAAAGTTGGCGTCATCACTCTGCTCTTGGGGAATCTTACCACCTATTGCTTAGCTTCCCACTACCACCATGTCATTCTTTTGCAAGACCTGTATCTGCAAGCAAGACCACTCTTCATAAAATGTGTAATATCATAAAGATAGCCTAGCATGTTTTGTAAATAGCTACCTCTATCTATTCATTTTCATTAATATTTTCTTTTTTTTTTTTAATATGGCTACATATTGAGCACACATACTGTGTTTGTATTGTTTTCTAGTCAAGACAGACTCCAGAAGGTGAATTCCTGCCACTCGACCAACGTGAGCTGGATGTTGGATTTGGCACTGGAGCTGACCAACTGTTCCTAGTTTCTCCACTTACCATCTGTCATGAAATCAACCGTAGGAGTCCATTCTTTGATCTCTCACAGAAGTCACTGAGAAGTGAGCAGTTTGAAATTGTTGTTATTCTGGAAGGAATTGTTGAAACTACAGGTGAGCACTAGAATGTTCAGGTATTTCCATTAATGTGATAAAACCTTTACAGGAGTGAAGAAACAAAGCCTTCACCAGACCTCTGGTTGAATCTGTATGTGCGAATTGTAAAATACATGTATAGTACAAATGTCGATAATAGATGTTTAGATAAATGTATGTATTTTTCACCTCAGAAGATACTTCCTTAGAGAACTTGTGGTACTTAAAGATGTACCCCATCCCTAAACATAGACAACGTTACACAAGGAAAATGAAGTGGGTACAGGGAGATAGTGAATAAACAAAGATTATTATAAAACAATAAAGTGTATTCAGATAAAACATTTAAAATCTAAGATATAGCGTATACTTCTAACATTCTCAGCTAGCCTCTATCTAGGCCCACTAGTTGTCAAAAGCTTTATCTAAGTATAGTAACCAAGATATAATACTTCTCATACAATGATTAACTGTATGACGATAAGCTGTCCCACTTTCCATCATGCAGTTGATCATTGCATGAGAAGTATTATATCTTGGTTATTATACTAAGATAACGTTTCTGGTACCCAGTGAGCCTAGATGGATGTTAGATGAGAGGTTGGAAACTCGTAAAAAGTATATGCTGTATCTTAGGAGATTCTTAACCTTTGTACCTGAATAAATGCTATTTTATTATAATCTTTGTTTACACATCTCCCTGCACCTCATAAATCCCACTTAGTTTCTATTGTATATCCTTATCTATCTTTAGGGATGTAGTACATCTCCCTAAGGAAGTATCGTTCTGTCTATTTTTTAGACATGTGCGATTCGTTTCGTTCCGAATCGAAATTCGGACGAATTTTCGGAAATTCGGACATTCGGATGTATCCGAATTCCGAATTACAGACATAACGAATGCAAACGAATCCGAATTTCCATTTCCGAAATTCGGCAGCGTTCGTACGAACGTTCGTTTCGTTTTCTGTTCTTATTCGTTTCTTATTCGTTTCGTTCGTTGGAGCAAAGTAACATTAGAGAAGGAGAAAAATATTTTTTCCCCCTCAAATGTCACTTTTGCTGCAAACGAACGAAACGAATAAGAAACGAATAGGAAACGAATAAGAAACGAATAAGAACAGAAAAAGAAACGAACGTTCGTACTAACGCTACCGAATTTCGTCCGAATCCGAATTCCGAATCCGAATTGACTTTCACACCCGAATCCTGAAAAACGAAATAACACAAATCCGAATGTAAAACGAAACTAAACTAAACGAATTTTTTGGCAGTGCACATGTCTACTATTTTTGTCTTTTTCAACTTAATTTGTTTCTATAGTGGCTAATTGATAGTAGAATTTATATTAATTTATCTGTGGAAGCTGCTGAGGTAAATCTGTGACTAACTTCTAAGATATTCTTGTGAACTGCACTATTGAGGTCTTCCCACTGAACCCCATACCACCAACAATCCCTTTAGATTATCCTTTGCATTCTACCTTTTGGGATGAAAAAAATCAGCAGTGACAAAGAAACAACCTTGTAATGGCCAGGTCAGGTCAGTGAATCCCTTAATTATTCGGAGAAATAATTAAGGGATTCTGCATTGAGAAAAAACTTCTTATGTCCCCAAACCACTCTTCTTCCCCACCCTTCAAGATTGTTCAGCTTCACTGCTGGTTTGACTAAGAGCAAATACTGTATGCTACTGAATAGTTCAAATTCCACCAGCTGAGTTGTTGCTTGGGGTGTATGATGGGAAAGGATCAGCTTAGCCATGGGAGTAAAATACCATCAGAGGCATTTTTCCTCAAGACAAAGTCCTTTTAAAAGGCCAGTAAAAATTAAATCCACCTGCAACCTTCCTGAACTGACATGTCAGTTTTGATTGCACATGAATTATTAACATTCACTATATTACCAAAAGTATTGGGACACCTGCCTTTACACGCACATGAACTTTAATGGCATCCCAGTCTTAGTCCGTAGCGTTCAATATTGAGTTGGCCCACCCTTTGCAGCTATAAAACACCTTCAACTCTTCTGGGAAGGCTGTCCACAAGGTTTAAGAGTGTGTCTATGGGAATGTTTGACCATTCTTCCAGAAGCGCATTTGTGAGGTCAGGTACTGATGTTGGACGAGAAGGCCTGGCTCGCAGTCTCTGCTCTAATTCATCCCAAAGGTGTTCTATTGGGTTGAAGTCAGGACTCTGTGCAGACCAGTCAAGTTCCTCCACCCCAAACTCCCTCATCCAGCTCTTTATGGATCTTGCTTTGTGCACTGGTGCGCAGTTATATTAGAACAGGAGGGGGCCATCCCCAAACTGTTCCCACAAAGTTGGGAGCATGAAATTGTCGAAAATGTCTTGGTATGCTGATGCCATAAGAGTTCCCTTTACTGGAACTAAGGGGCCAAGCCCAACCTCTGAACAACAACCCCACACCATAATCCGCCCTCCACCAAACTTTAGACTTGGCACAATGCAGTCAGGCAAGTACCGTTTTCCTGGCAACCGCCAAACCCAGACACGTCCATCGGATTGCCAGACAGAGAAGCGTGATTTGTCATTCCAGAGAACTCGTCTCCACTTCTCTAGAGTCCAGCACACAGAGCATAACAGACACACACAGACAGCGCAACGCACAGTGCATGATGCAGAGTGCAACGCACAGGGCATAATACACAACTCAGCGCACAGGGTATAACACACACATAACGCAACACACAGGGCATAATATACACACAGAGCACAACGCACAGAGCATAATACACAACGCAACACACAGGACATAATACATACACAGCACAATGCACAGGACATAATACATACACACAGGCCATAACACAAACACTCAGCACAACACAGAGTGCACTGGGCATTATGCACACAGCATTACACATACACAGACTGCACAACACACACAGCATTACACATACACAGACTGCACAACACACAGGGCATAACATACACAAAGGGCACCCAGACCCATCTCTTTGACCCCCACCTAATTACTTGCTGGCACTGCTTAAGTAGCTCCCCTATAGCCCACGATCAGTTAGTCCTCCCTTGGGCTACCCCTGTGCATTTCCCTATTAGAGATGGCCACATTGCGGCGGTCATCTTTAATAAGGTTTATAATGTGGCGACTATCTTTAGTAAGGTTTACAATGCAGCGGCCATCTTTAATAAGGTTGATAATGTGACGGCCATCTTTAATAAGGTTTAAAATGTGGCAGCCATCTTTAATAAGGTTCATAGTGCGGCGGCCATCTTTAACATGGGCAAGGCACACAGAGGTGAGCTACGGCACACGGGAAGCCGCCACAAACTCATCCAGGAGTCGGGCACTCTGTCTTTGACCGTGAATTCATTTCCACTCGCCCCCACACAATTTTCACTTGCCAATTGCAAGGGGGGGCAACTGGCAAGTGAAAATTGAAATTTTGAGCCCTGCTTTACACCACTGCATCCGACGCTTTACATTGCTTACATCACTTGGTGATGTAAGGCTTGGATGCAGCTGCTCGGCCATGGAAACCCATTCCATGAAGCTCTCTACACACTGTTGTTGTGCCAATCTGAAGGCCACACGCAGTTTGGAGGTCTGTAGCTATCGACTCTGCAGACAGTTGATGACTTCCTGGTTGCTTCCACTTTGTTATAATACCACTAACAGTTGACCGTGGAATATTTTGAAGCAAGGAAATTTCACGGAACACCTGAATCCAATGATTTGGAGGGGTGTCCCAATACTTTTGGCAATATAGTGTATATACTTTAGTTTCCCTTTCTCATGTGCTTTGCTGCTCTTTTTTATAATAGACACTCTGTTCAACTTGTATCAGAGTTGATGCTGGCATATTACAGTTGGGAAACAACACTTATCATTTAGATATTATATAAGATACTCTAGCTTCCTCTTCATATGCCTACCATATTGAAAAATGATAACAACAGGTTTTAAGATACAAGCCTCTAATCTAAAATCATCATCAGATTTACCAATTTGTTTGGCAGCAAATGCCAAACCTCATTGTCAAATGTTCCTAAGCCGTCTTTAGCCTCTATGGCAAAAAAGGGTAAACATAATGTCAAATATCCAAAAAGTACAAAAAAGTTTCAGATCGGAGTAAACTTAAGTGTAAACAATGTTTGTTTGTTTTTATAACTATTGCTTTTAATGTATTTTAATAAAACTTCAAAATGCTTAAAAGCATTGCATTTTAACATCATGGGGTCCCAAATTCCATAATTATCCAAACTGTGTAAAGAACAAATACTGTCTTCTACAAAGAAGGTAAATCCGGTTCTTTTGAGCAGTTGGAGCTAGATTTGTTCCTGACATGATACTTGTCCTTTATTTCATCTGAGGTAAACATTACATGGACACAAATGTGGTTATACATACACTGACAGGGTAACCAATCAGGGAGTCCTGGAGGGTATGTCCATTAGGATCCTGTTTGGACATGTTTTATTGTATGTGGTGATGGAGCTGGATATATTGACCCTCAATGCATATGAATTGGATGCCAAGTGCTACACCACTTTCTGGATTCTATACCCTCATATAATGTGCTAAGGACCAACGGATATACCAGTACTTGTTGTCTAAAGAGATAATATAGATTTTTTTTTTTTATAGTCGGTTATGTCTGGTATATAATACACAGTTTGTGTTATCCATATGGTGCATTCTAGTGCATGAATGAGACCTATGTTCATTCCCTCTTATTAGCTATCATTGCTCTAAATAACCAGGACTTTCTGGTTCTTATTTTTTAGTTGGAGACAGAATTTGTTTGCACATTTTAGATACCAATGGAATGTTAAAATGCAATGTTGTAAAGTATTTTGTAGTGTAGTACAAAAAGTACAATTGACATTACCAGCTTTCATAGTTAGTCAGGTTGAAAAGGGACACATGTCCATCGAGTTTAACCTTTAGAGATATGGAAGAAAAAAAAAAGAAGAAAAGCCTAAACAGAATGTTATGCCCCCAATTAGAAGGTAAAAAAAAAAAAGAACCTAT